GCGGGCGCCCCCGCGCTCGGCGGGGGCCGGCGGGTTCTCGGACCTCCCCTACGAGGGCTGCGGCGTGGACGCGAGGGCCCGGGCCAGGGACGCCAACGCGCACCCCACCGCAAGCCCATGCAGTGGAAGCCCATGCCAAGAAGCACCCTGCGTGCGTCCAGGGTGCCCTGGAGTTCCTTCGTTTCGTCGTCGTCGTATTCGCTGTTTTGCGGCGGGCGTCGCGGAGAAATATTTGTTGTCCCATTGTTGGTGGGACCCCAGTCCTTCAATGAGGGCGTCGAAAAGATACAGCGGGAAGCCAGGTGCCCGCTTTCGATGGTTTTGCGATGGAAAGCGAGACGTTCCAGCTCCAAAATAATCCATGGACGTCCTGGGGTCTCAGGGTCGGGTTTCTTGTGGAAGGTTTCGTGTGGTCGAGCTCCTGCTGCACCTCAGACGAGGAAGCGGTACCCATAGCCCCAGGCATCCCGCAACATTTTTTCCCTACCTAGGCTCTGCCTGGAAGGGTTCTTCTTACTCTCTTAGCTGAAAGGGGCCGGGCAGTGGAACACGCCCCGGGCGGTTCCCCCAGTCCCCTGGGAGCGGTTCCCCCCAGTCCCCTGGGAGCTTTAGCTTTAGCTTTAGCTTTAGCTTAGTTTTAGCTTAGCTTTAGCTTAGCTTGAGCTTAGCTTGAGCTTAGCTGTAGCTTAGCTTTAGCTTAGCTTTAGCTTAGCTTTAGTTTAGCTTTAGCTTAGCTTTAGCTTAGCTTGAGCTTAGCTTGAGCTTAGCTTTAGCTTAGCTTTAGCTTAGCTTTATCTTAGCTTTAGCTTAGCTGTAGCTTAGCTGCTGCTCAGCTTTAGCTTAGCTGTTGCTCAGCTTCAGCTTAGCTTTAGCTCAGCTTTAGCCTAGCTTTAGCTTAGCTGTTGCTCAGCTTTAGCTTGGCTGTAGCTTAGCTTTAGCTCAGCTTTAGCTCAGCTTTAGCTTAGCTTTAGCTTAGCTTTAGCTTAACTTTAGCTTAACTTTAGCTTAGCCTTTACTGTTACTACTAATGCTGCTTTCCTAGGGGTTCCAACTCCTGGGTAGGGTCGCACTGGGATAGTTTAACATTCCGGCGTGTGTCCTCGATGCTGGCGTCTGGGGCCCGATGTCGGGCCCCGCGGGCAATGGAGCACGGACCCGGCACCGGAAGTCATTTCCAGGGAAGGATTCGTCACCTTGGGGCCGCGCATTACCTCACAGGAAGACAGCAACGGCTCCGCCACCCTGGCCTCCTTCATGCCTGGCTGGGCCTCGAGGGAGGCTGTCGTCGCCTCGCCGCGGAATCCTGGTCAGAACGCACCTTGGGAGGGGTTTGGGGGGTCGAGATATCGGCAGCTCTTTGGATTCCCAATGTACTTTCTCGCGAGCGAGCGGGCCACATGAGCAGTCCTGTTGGCTGCTCGACCCTGTGCAGGGCGCGGGTGAGTAATCAGCCTACCAGCAAGACAGTATCGAACATGAAATTGTTGGTGCAGTGAACATCTGCCCTCGGGGCAGTGAAAAAAAACAAAAAGGCACGACAGGAGATGCCGTTTTGTGTCCAGCCTCTTGCTCCGCCCCTCGCAAAGGTCCTGCAGCAGCTGGAGTACTCACTGTTCCGGTGAGCGGCGTGGCCGGCGGGGTGTCAGGTTCACCGCGAGGCAGAGGTGTCAGGATGCAATTCCTGGGAGGCTTCATTCCTGTTGCCTCGCGTATCCCCACCAGCTCATCCCAAACCAGTCTACCAGGCGAGTTGCCCTGATCAGGGATGCGTAGCAGCATACGGCCGTTTTGGGGCCATCTTGGAGCCATTTTGGGACAATTTAAGCCTTTGGGGCGTTCTTGGAACGCTCTTGGGGGTCTCCAGGGTACCTCTTGAGACCCTCTGGGGAATCTCTTGGGCTTCTCTTGCATCTTGGCAGGGGAGAGTTGCGACTTGGGGGCCCTCCTGGGGCCGTCCTGTAAGTTTCCGATCACGAGGGTGGGGGGCTTCTGAGTACGCCCCCCCGTCGGAGCCCTTCAAACCGCCACTTGGGGCTCTATTGGGGCGGTCTTGGGCGCCGTTGGGCCCGTCTTGGGCCCCTCGTGGGGCCTTCTTGGGGCCCTTTTAGGGCCCTCTTGGGGGGGCAACTTGGAGCCATCTAGGGCCTCGAGACCCCATCGGAAGCGATGCAGCGAGAAAAAAGGAGTCGATGTTTTTTTGGGTTTGGGAAGAATTTGGCATTTGTAAGGCCTGCTCGAGAGGTTAGGAAGTCACTCGAAGCCACCCTGGAGCGGTGCTGAAGGCTCTTAGAGGAATGTTGGAAGCGATCTTGAACCATCTTGGGCTAGCTTGAGCGATCTTGGAGGCCATCTTGGGCTCTCTGGGGTTATCTTGGAGCCATGTGGAGCGATTTTGGACGCTCCAACCCCTTGCAGACCGCCTCCTCCAGAGCCAGGGATGGGGGGAGGGGTACCCCCTCCCCGAAGGGGAAGAACGGAGTTAGCAGAACGAGCTCGTTAGACCACTCACGCACAGAGGGCTGGTGGGATTCAGCATCATCGTTGGTATACCCGTGGTCGAACACCGGCCTAATCAGGTCGAGTCTCGCTCTGTGCGGCTTAACCCCGGGCTTACGCCCGAGCTCTGTGCAGACCTAAATGGCTAAATTGCAAGTGAAGCGGGCATGACTCCTACTTGTTTTTACCACGAAGACCTCCCAGGAGTTGCCTCCTAAGGGGTGTTTCGCCCTCTATCCATCCCACCGTCCTCGCCCCGACCAAGTGCCTATCACAGGCAGGGCGGCTTTCGATGGAAAAGGAATGGCAGCGCGCCCTCCCGAGGAGTGGGGGAGGACGGGGAGTAGCTGGAGGGACGCCGAAGGAGGAGGAGGAGGAAGCTTCGGCCTGGTCCTTGCGTCTTTCCTTCCATCTTCTCTTTGCCACCTTTGGCGCCCCAGCCACCAGATGAAGGCTTCCCAATGCTCATACAGAGTCCAACACATCATCAAATTTCGTTCAAAACGCGTTCGATCTCGATTCCCGATCCTCGAACGCCCGCACTCCTCGACCCTCAAGTTTCCACATCCTGGTCTGCTCGATGTCAGGGGTTGGCTCGGTGAAGGTGGACAAGGATGAGCGATGTGGAGGAAGGAGAAGCAGGGGCAATGGCGGTAACGATAACGATTGGTAGCGACAAATGGTGAGGACGGAGAGGGGGACGGAGGCCAACGGCGCCAACATGACATCCAAACGTTTTTTCTTTTTAAAATAAATAAATAAAACATATTTTTCAATGTATCCTTAGCACAATGCAAGTGCTAATCAAGCGACCAGAAGTGCGAGTCATGCGCCTTCCAAGTGGCACCACATGAAGGCCACCGAGCGCGCCACAAGGCACGAGCAAACCCAGCGCTTTCAGAGCACCCGAAGCACAAAAACGCCTTAGATCATAGTGCCAGCGCATGCACAGAGTGCGATCGAGCATGATCAAACCAAATCTCCATAATGCGAGTGTCCATTTGAACGCCTTGAGGCGTGAGCACATGGTATTGGCAAGCTTGGCATCAGGGGTGTTTTTTCCATTGATGGCAAAAGTCGTTGTGAGTGTGCGCAGATGCAGGAGCAGCACTCATTAACCTTTGATCTTTCCACTTGGGCACGGTCCTGATATTGGGCACACTGTACGAATCGTGGTTTCTTCTGTGTGGCGTTTCCGGCTGTACGCTAAGCGAGTCTGTTTTCCCCTTCATGTTTCCAGCCTTACTTATTTCTTCGGCGCTTCGCCTGTCGGGCCCGAGGCTGCCAGGCAGTCTGAGCCACGTCTGGCGCAATAACTTTGCCAGCTGGTGTTCCTTGGCCTCTGGCGCGCCGCAGCTTTGCTGGACCATGTTCACGCATGGCCACTGCAGTCCGCTGAAGCAACACTGCCAGTTGAAAACCACGATGTTTTTTTTGTAAGGCACGGGTGCAGTGATGTTGTGATTTTGCCAATCGAAGTGCGCGTGGCTTGCTTGCTCGCCGAGTGACAATGTCATCCCGCCGGAATTGCTTATCCTGGAACTCAACAGAAGCGCTTCAAGAGTCAGTCTACAAGTTGACAGTGCGTGCTGTCTGCCGTTGTAGCCCTTGACCATCTCGGCGAGCGCATGTCGAAATGTGATGATTGGGGCAGGAAGGAGCTTAGCACGACGCTCAGCTTAGGTGAAATGGTGGCGACACTGGCCCGTATCACACTTAATCGCGACCGCCTGCTTGCTATACGAAACAGTGTCTATCAAAGAGCAGCTTTGCAGTTGCAACGCAGCATTTAGCAAGCTGGTTATGTTGGCGCTGCCGTGGGCAAAGTTTGATGATTGGTCAACTCTGAACAGGCGCAGCCAACGCTTTCCACAATACATCAAGTCCATTACCGCCGCGAACCACAGCGGCAACGCACGCGGGCCCGAGCGCGACGCAAAAGGCATGCGTTCAGAGCTTTCGCCGGAAGAAAGATTTCATATATATGTATGTATATATAATGTATATATATACACATATATATATATATATGTATATTTATATATATATATATATATATATACATATATACATATATATATATATATATATACATTTACCCGGGGAAGGAAATCGGGGCCCGGAAACCACGGCCTCGAACCCCCAATCTGGGTCCCCCCCCCCTGGGGCCTCCTCGGCCGCTCCCCGGCCGCTCAAGACAGCCCTTGGGACGCTCCAAGGGCGCCCACGATGGCTTCCAGACTGCCCAAGAGGTTGCCAAGAGCACCCGCCCGAAAGCGCCACAAAGGGTCCCCAGGACTGGTCAAGATGACTTCCCAGTGCCCTCGATGGTTTCAAGACGGCCCAAGAGGCCCCGAAAACGCCCCAATAGGCCCCAACGAGGACCCCCACGAAGCAAAAATCGGCACATTCCCGTCGGAAAACGTGCATGTTCAGCATATTCGCTTGTTTGGTCTCGAGAGCGTCCAAGACGTCCCAAGAAGCCCCCTAGATCCTCCCAAGTCGGCCCCGGAGGCCCCAAGAGGGCCCTAAAACGGCCCAAGAGAGCACCAAGACGGCCCAAGAGAGCCCCATGACGGCCCAAGAGCGGCCTCAAAGGGCCCAAAAGGCTCCCAAGAGAGCCCCGCGCGAGCCACAGGAGACCCCCAAGAGGGCCCAACAGGGCCCCAAGAGAGCCCCAAGACGGCCCCGGCCTCCCAAGTCTGCCCAATAGCGCTCCGGGACGGCCTTCGAGGGCCCCATACGAGCCCCAAAAGACCCCAAAAGCGCCGCCAAGAAGGCCCAATCATGCCACTCTGTGTGGTTTTCTGATGTTTACGCGTTCTCGCCTCTCCAGTCTCTCAGAACCCATAAAAAGGCTTGAAGAAATCGCTCTACCAAGAGGCACCCGAGCAGCACGCCAAGATATCCCAACCAGGTGTGACACGCCTCTGGCCACAATCCCGGCACGGTGGCAGTACGAGCCAAAGGCTCTTGAGGCTTCCAAGAGGCCCAGAGAACCCTCTCAGAGGCCACGCGTCTACACCTTAAACGATGTTTCCACAGCGGTTTCCAGAGACATCGGTTCCGAGATGGAGGCCTCCCTCGAGACCCTTCAGAGCGCCACAGGGCCTCACATACATTTCCTACACGATATTGCTTGAGAGGCTCACGGGAGCATCGATTCAGACTTGGGTCCATCACAACCCTCCCTGGGATGCGACACCGGGCGTCGGACGCTTCTTTCGCCGTCGACACTCCCAAGTCCCGTGTGCTCTGCCTGCTGCGATTCGTCGTCGCTGGCAGTTGGTGCCTTCAGGTTCGTGCCCTAGGAAGGGGGAGGGGGGAAGAAATACGAGAAACGGGGGACGAGGACGAGGAGGACGAGGAGCAGCAGGAGGAAAAGGGGGAGGAGAAGGAGGAGGAGGAGGAGGAGGAGGTGGAGGAGGAGGAGGACGAGGAGGAGGAGGAGGAGGATTCGCATTCGTAACGGGAAGGGACCATTCATACGGGGACGGGGATCCCGAGCATCATGCGTGAAAAGGGAGGGGCAGGAAGGGCGTCTTCCACACGCCGACAGGGTCGGCGGATTGGGCCCCAGGTCTCACGAGGGCCCCAAGAGAAGGTCAATATGGCCGAGATCAGTTCGAATCACAAATGGTCAACGCTCAGGCAAGACCCAAAAGATCCCAAATACGGCTCGCAGATCGCAGACGCGACCTCATGATAGCCAGTGGAAACACCGGGACCCCTAACACGCCGTTTTTTTGGGGGGGCTCCCACCCTCCCCAGGGCCTCGCTTCTCATCCTCCTCGAACTTTGATCGTCGGTTCGGCCCCAGCCGCCGTCGCTGCCGCCGCTTCGGTTGAGCCTGGGTTGTAGGTCAGAAGCTCCGCCTCCTTCCATACCTTGCCTCCGGGTCGCGTCGGGCACTTCGTCTCCTCTTCTCTGTTTCAGTGGGTGTAGGACCTCATCGGGGAATCAGGAACCCACAGGGAGCGTCGCCTGGTGACCCCGTGGGGTCGTGCTTTCCCCTTAGGCAGCGTCCCATTATCGATCTCACAATCGATCTCACCATCGAACTCACTATCGACCTCACTCGAGTGATTTCACAATCGATGTCACTATCGATCGCGAGATCGATGCCCGTCTATCGATCTCACTACCGATA